CGGTTGTTTGGCGTCTATCTTGACCGTGGTGTGGGAAACCACTTGGTATAGACAGGACAGATATAACAAGTGCCGGAGCGGCTATCGGAACGCTGTCATGGCCTGTGTTAGCCCGGTTCCCAACATCAAAAACGAGAAATTTTCGGCAAAATTTTGACAAACTTGATAATAAAGATCCATCTCCACGTTGTATTAGCGGCTATGGCTCCGCCAATAATGGGTCCTACCAAAAGAGCTACAGCATTGGTTACAGAAATGTTCGCCACAACTTGCGCATACTTTTCTGGCGGAACGAGATCGAAGACCATGATTGTGCACAGAGAGAAACATCCTCCCCCGCCGATGCCCTGGAAGGCTCGGAAGACAATGCTGCCACATGTCAGTTCATTGGAATCTCGACCATTGTACCATTCCATGGCAGGGACGAGTCCTTACAGCTGCGTCAGTGTCTGCGAGGCACTACAAGCGGCGGAAAAGATGATAAACGTGGCCGTGGACAGTAAGAAGATGGGCTTGCGGCCGAAAATGTCACTGAACTTGGCAAAGATGATGATGACAGCTGCCTCGTACGTGTGAGCAATCGACATGGGGAACTGAAGCCTGATTCAACGTACCGACGTAGCCTAGCAGGTAGCTAGAAACCACCCAGCTTACATCGTCAAAGCCCCCAAGGTCGGTGGTGATTGCAATCAATGCTGTAATCAGGACGGGAATCTCCATGTTCGTGATGAACATCATGGTAGCGATGCTATTTCAACAAAACGTGTCAGTTGCATTGCTGCTTTCCCACCGGTTAAAAATTACTTACGCGACACAGATGAACCTAAACCGAGGGCCTTGGATATACTCCACGGAGACTTCGGCGCTGCGCAGCGAGCCGGAACGTGAAGTGACTCCTACATCATCTGAAACCGAGTTCAATTTGGAACCTGTAGATATATCAAAGGAGTAGCCGTTTAAGCCGGCACCTGCTTCTCGTGCCATGATAGCCAGAAAGCCAGGTTGGATATCTCTTGCAGGCAGGGAATATTCTGAGGAAGAAATCAAAGACGTTATTTTCCAGTCTATCACGAAGCGAAAGTTGTGAGTCTTCCCGGAAAGCCAAGGATTATATCACTTCAATAAGGTGTTGACGAGCCTCCTTCATGGGGGACCGGTGGGTATGAATTACTGATGTGATGGTCAGCGCTTACGGGGAGGGTTGCATGCAGTGCTACGGATTACTAGCGGCATGAGATACTTGCAACACACAAGGCAGACGAGCTTGGCGGCTGATTCATCCCTGTCCAAATGGTACTATTCTGTGTATGCAAGGTTCCTTCCAAAGCGGCCCCCAAAAAACACGTCTATACTTGCGGAGGTGACTGCAGCAGTTAATCATGCACATCTGCTTGTCATAGGCCCAAGACACCGCCTCTGTCGAATGTTGCCTTGAGTAAGGCGTCCCAGCCTGCCATGCGTATCGGTCTTATCATACTTGTCATTGCATGAACTTTTGTGTGTGTATATTCGACGCCTCCCGCTCAAACCAAGTACAGTGCAAGATGCGCAAACCAATTTTCGACAATGATACGCCTGGCTGCTTGACAGTAACCCCCAAAAACAGCGTTAAAAGTTACACTCGGTGCGGTCACTCACATTTAAGGAGTGAGCCTCGCAGTGACGTGGCCTGTAGAAAAGCGTTTCCTGTATACTTGCACACGTGGACTATGAAGGGACAATGCTCCTTTCGCTGCTTAGCGGAAACAAGAAAGGCCAACTCATATGGGGTCCGTTAGAATTAAACCTAGTGTGGCTCATGACACTTGCAACCCTTGGATGAAATGCGACAGAAAGAAAGCAGGCAACAGGAAATAGTGAACAAAGGCGCGGCTCAAGGATAAACGTACCACGTACCACCGCCCAGCTTGCCTTGAGCCACTCAACACCTCGACGAAGCTAACAGAAGTATATGGATTAGAGTCACTAGATAACTTTTATGTTGATTCTCAAGCCCATTAATCTACAGCAACAACAATCACGAGATTGCTAGTTGGCTTTACCTTGTTCTTTGCATGCCGTTAGCGCGGCGGTATTTACGGCCTTGAGTAACATTCGTTAGAGACCTTGCGCGGTGCAAAACGCACAATCAGGCACCAAAGCGGCTTTTAAAGATGAGATGAACCTGTCTCATCAGGCGGAACCTTGGCTGGAGAAGAGAGTGTACAATTATCAGTTGGCCAGCTCGTGGCAGTCTAGACATGCTGTCTCGAGCTCTTAAGCGGTTTCGATGCCTGCATCCAAATTGGCAACCGGGAAGAGAAGGTGGCTCGACGGGGGTACTCTTGGCATCGCACTTCGCCATGCTCGAGACCAAGGAGCCATAGCCGATGGAATATTTGTCCAGAATCATAGTAGAACTCTACAAAGTATATATCGGCGGCAGCCACGAGGTTGAATTGCTCAGTGACGCAAATCAGGCATGCGCCAATGAGCTGGTCGTCATCAGTGACAGCCACGAATCCCCCAAATCACTGCTCTTCCTGACTACATATGTAGTATCCTCCAATCTGCTCAGCGCTCTCGAGATATGGGACAGGGTCACTTTCTCGACATGCCCTCCGCTTCATGCTCGACTCTCTGTCGGCATGCGCTTCTTCGCAGCGTAGTAGAGCGCAGTCCTTTTTCTTTTCGGAATCCATGCCACCAACGTCGTGACCAGTCTGAAGACGAGTTGATCATGGCAACGTTGCCAGTGATAACAGCCTATCGTAAGCCTGTGGCCGCCCTGCAACAGCGTAGCGTGACTTGTCAAATGCCAAGTCACTGGTCGCTTTGTAGAAATGGCTAGCTGGCCCACGATCTACATATGTAGCCATCCATCTGCAGTAGCTTGTAGAAGAAGCAAGCTCATGATGGAACTATGTCCTCCATTTTCAGCACAGAAAAGAGCTCTCGGCTGAAGCATTGACGTTGGCCCCTTGGTTCAACAACCGCCTCCTCCGTTCGTCATCTTCTAATGGCTGGTCACTATCAATGTTGTCAGAGTTATAGTCAACATGGCCAGGTCGTTTTTGCAGTGCAAGCAAAGCAACTTCTTTCATATGAGCGGCGAAATGTGCCCGAAGAGCTTCACTCGAGAAGACGACACTTGATCCCTTCTTCTGGGGGTTGAAAATCGTCGCCAAATGGGCAGCACGCCAGCACCTTGTCACGGACTGGTCTTCGTGCCGCGCTGCTGAGAGTCCCGACATGCGTTTCGGGAACCCCATGCTCCTGATACTGCGTCTCCTGATCAAAGATGATGGGATCGTGAGAGGGGGCTCTGCACTCCCGTGCTTGTCCGTGAGCGCTCTGCATGTGGCTGGTCCAGGCTTTTGACGTTGCGAATGTGGGCGGACCGGTCCCATGTTGACAAAGCTGCACCTCGCGTCAAGGTCAAGGAAGCCCCTGAATAGGCCCTTTCTTTCTCTAAAAGCCGAGATGCTTCATCTGCGAAAGCTCGTCCTCTAGTCATGACGTTTCCCGGCACGGCGAGGCCACTTTCATCCGTGGAATACATCTACGCAACTTGTTAGGTTGTGCTGCCATTGTAGGTATCTCTACTCTACGACTTACACAGGCCACTGTTTGAAAAGCGTTTGGCATGAATGATGAGCAGAATTCTCCGCGGCCTGACATTCCATCCGGCCCATGGCTCTCTGTATTCTCCAGATAATGGAGGAATATGCCTCGTATCATTCATGAAAGTGTGTTTTCACATGTCCAGAAGAGGTTTACCAAGTGTGTGAGGTGTTTATCGTCACTGGACACCCTTGTCCATTTGGAAACGGGGAGACACTCGAGCGCAACGTTGACTATCATTCCATTATAGCGGTAATCAGTCCCCAGTGGTTCGACCTTGGACTAACTACATGTAACCGAGGGGTGGGCTTCACTAAACAAGAGTGTCAGAATCTGTTGAATTTATAGTTCAGTATGAAGGCGGTTCTGTCAAACCTGAAGCCAAGTCTCTTCGAGGCCACGAGACGGCAAAAGAATGCTTGTCGGAGCAGCGGCCTGGCATCAGTAGCGCCAGCAGTCTGCCCACCCGACACGACGATGGCTCCATTAGAAGATGGAAGGTCGGTTCTGCGTATTGGAGGTTGTTGAACTCAAAATCAGGCGGGAGAACGAGAGCATCAGATATTGAACGTATTGCTGCATCCGTCAATGGCGCTTCTCTAATGTGTTCAGGGACGGTTTGCGCACTGCTCTCATCTCTCAGCTTCTCAAATGCCACATGTAGAACAGGGCTGCTCTCATTCGGGTACCCCCTGTCTTGAACTTGGGCTTCGCGAACAGTCATGCATTCTGGCACTGCGTAGTGACAGAGGCGATTTGCACGAACACATGGTAAGCAGTTGGGCAGCAGTCCGTCGCACGAAGAGTCTGGTGCATTAGTCACCCTGGTATACTGGGTATACTGCCCTGAGGTGACTGGAGCTCTTTGCCACTGTCTTTCGCTTTCTACAAGTTCTTACACGACTCTTCTGTCTCTTGCCAAAATGGAAGCTTGGTGTGATTGCTGGTTAACATGGCGTCGATTCTCGCGACTACACTGCGCCGAAAAGCTGAAAGGAAGTTTTTGGTATTAAAAAGAGAGCAAGCTGCAGACAGAGTCTTCGGTATGAATAGCAAGAATAATGATAATTCTTCTCATAACGTGACAGATGTATCGACTCGAGGAGGTTCTATGTGACTAGACACTATGGCAGGCTTATATAAGTACTAGCGACTGTTACATGTTCAAAAGCCGACCGCTGCTTGTTTAATTGCCCGTTCTAGACCATGACCCAGCGCCTGCATAGATTTAGTTGCCAGAGACTCAAGAGCACGAATTAAACTACGCGCAGTTGGAGCACACCAAACTATCCTGCTGCATAGCCATAAGCATCTCTTCCATCACTCAATATCAAGGCTCTCGGAAATCATACTGATACTCAGCACAATAGCAAATCGTACCACCGCAGCTGACCCTCTTATCCGGAGGTCTGGACATTTCGAATGCGAAGCAGCTCTCTTATCCCGGACCACGTAAACACAATCTGAAGCAGCCTGGTGGATTCGAATTAGTAGAATGACGAAACAAAGGACATGTAAACCCACAGCTCGACCACCATGAGAATTAATATCGCAATCCCAACTGCAGCTGAGCTTGCAGCTTTCGGATCGGATCTGGAGATGTCGGGTCTCGTGAAAGAGACCAGAAACCCGAATGCGATAGCGTATCCGATGCCCAAAGCGCCATCATAGAGCACTCTTCTCCAATAATGTGACCGGCGATTAGCACCAAGGATACACCACACCTCAAAGGAGCTTGTCAATAGGGTGGAAATGCATGGGCTCAGCACGGCCGCACCCCATTTTCCACGAGGAACCACAGAGAGGGTGATGGATGCCAAAATAGTTAGAGCAATGGAGCATAGGATGCCGAAAGAGCGAGCCGCAAGATAGACGTGGCGGTTTGGCGAGCCTTGGGGATACGGACTTCCATCTATGCCACAGCTCACGGCTCCCCGGCGAGTTGTCTCATGTTGCCGATGGGCATGAAAAGACGACGCATCTGGTGGCTTGCGCATCGGGTCCATTTCGAACCGTCCCATATTTTCGTCTGGGAAGTTTCTAGCCATGTTGGATTCTGGAGGAAATGTCAAACACAGCGATTAGAGTATCCGGCGGACTCAACTATAAATACTCGACAAAAATGCCTGTTCCATGAACCTTGATGCTTCTTTACCTACCGAGCTGGCTGGTCGGCATGAGGTCATGGTCCAGCAACGATACAGGAATTGCTGGTGGTCCAAAGGGTGGTCAGCTCGTATCTCGCTTTTGTTGCAGCCCCGTTCGCCGACAAATGCCGCGCCTATTGGAACCCACAAAGACAGCCACATAAATGTGAATGGTTGACCTCGCGAGCCGTCAGTGGCGGATGGCTGCGCTTCAGGCCGGTCTTGTTGGCGGAGAGACTACTGACACATTTGCAAGTGTTTAGCTCAGGGCCACCTAGGCCCTTCCTTCAGCCCGTCGCTGCATATTCCTATGAGTGGACGGCCAAATTGATGAACCATTTGCTATTCCCAAACACCGTATGAGGGGGATGGCCAGCTTTTTTTGCCAGTTTACGCATGTTTTCCAAGGTAAGTGTCAGGGCCGTGGAGATGTAGAAAGCGCCAAGAGGACACACTGATCAGGTGGATATCGGGAAGAGAATAATCGCCTAAGAGCTGCTATTACTAGAGTTTTCTGTTTCCTGACTTTACGGCAAAGCCCGATCATCATCGTAATAATGAGCCTGAGTCTTGGAAGAGGACATGGCGCTGCGGTCTTAATTCCAGTCAGGGCTCTTATATGTAAGTCTTTATAGCTTCCTACAATGTCATAAAGCATTGAATAAGTACTCTAAGTACGTACCCTTTATACGGGTAGTACGCTCAAGAACACACATCGCGGGAATGGCCTGTCAAGTCCAAAGAGAAGGGAGCTTCGTGTATTCAGAAATATATTTATATGTACAATCCCGTAGTAAGTACGGTACCGTAGCTCAGTTACAGTACCTACATCTACGACAAGGTCCCATTACTACCCTCCGCATCAAACAGTTTATCGAATCATGCGAAGATTAAAAGCTTAAACACAAGGTCCTTAACTAAAATCAAGACCCTAACGCCATGTTCTCATGTAAGACCCAGGGTTCATTGAGTAGACGGCCTCGCAGGCATAAGAAGCTTTGCATCGGCTTTTCTTAGTGCGTCTCGTGATCTCTGAAAGTTACAAGTGCTTTTTTGCATGGTTTAGACGGAACTGTTCCTCCTGAAGACCGTCTCTCACTGACGTCGTCCTGGTCGCTTCCTGGACACTGCCAGGTGGTCTACCACCAGCAACCTTGGGGAATACATTATCACACGGCATTGGCCATTGACTTGGTAAGATTCCTTCACTCACTGATAGATCGAGTTTATAGCAAGACTATCAATTAACTAAAGCACCTCGCGTAGGCCTAGAGCATCCCTGATGGACCAAACGTTTCCCAGCGACCTAGAGCTTCATCGTACGAGATACACTATTCTTGGGGATAGGTATAGTTACGAAGATTCATAAGCTAGGAGGACATCTAAGTGTTCAAAGTTGTAATACTAAGCACATTCTGATTATTGTATATGCTTACACTACCTTCGTTGTCCAAGATGAGCGGTTCATTTCCGAATCTCAACTTCCAATATCATTACCATATGGGGTGACAGGTATCTTAAAGCTACTAGAAGATTTTTTATCGGTACTATACAAATTAATAAGATAATGATCCGTCCAGACGGCATTTATCCGGAAACTTATGGGCCATCAGAGAAATCGCACCCAACTGTGAAGACGCCTAGATTGTATCCGCCACAATATTGCGAAGCCGCCAACTCTTTCAACAGTTACTCCTCAACGCTTCCTATTTTTTCCATGTACACTTAAGCAGCAATTGACCATTCGATACCCTTGAGAAGCGTGCCGTCTCCATCACGACCCCCAAACGCCTCCCACATATCCAAACACATATCGATAGACTGTTCACTGCTCTTGTTCTCGTCCGCAACCACCGCCTGCTTAGAAACCCCATTGTACGTCATTGTAATAACCTTGCCGCAAAGCTTATTGTTCTGCGCCTGGCCGTGCGGATCGAAGATGCCCGAGGGTAGCGCAACCAAAGATAATTTATCAGGGTCAATGTCCTTGAAGTAGGTGCTCAAGCCGCATGCTCCATGGTCCCTAAAAGCACTGCGGCAGTTTCCTAGGTCCCCAAACATAAATATCGAACCATTTGTGTCTTTACCAGACACGCCGTTTGGGCTTGGGCTTGGATTTGGGTTTGGATTGGGCTTATTGCAGGCGGGTGATGCTAATGCGGTGGCTGCAAGGGCCAGAGTCGTAGTAAATGATGACAATTGCATTATGAGCGGTGTTTTCAAGTGTCGCAGTAGTAAGTTTTTTCTCTGTGAGTCGATGGACAGTCTTCATCATCGGCGAAAAATGCAAGGCGTGCTTCAACTTTTATGGCAAGTTCTCACTATCCTCAGGTAGCATCACCCCGGAAAATCATTCCGTCTGAAACAATGGGACTGTCAGAGACATGGGCCAAAATCTGATGATTTTACTCGGAAGCTAATCTTAACTCATGTATTACCTGCTCAATGTGGCATGTGGTGCGGAGTGGTACGCGGGCCGCTAGCAAGGGCGGCATGAGAATTACTGAATAAGACAACCCTTCAATGTTAGAAACATGAAACATGCAAACAGAGTTTCTTGGCGCTCTCTGTTACGAGTCAAGACGACGGAGATGGGCACTTGATTCGAGGATTGTTGCTTGCTTATCAGTCACCCCGGCTGTTTCAACAGCGAGCTGACGCCTGAATCGCAGAGCCTAGTACAGGTCAAGAACAATTTATTTGCATGGACTATATAGCATATCTTTCCAAATTCTTGAATTAACAGCTCAAAAACAAAGAGAGGCTTATTTCCCAATAGGCTTATTTTCCCTTCTCAAAGGGGTTTCTAAGTTGTCGCTTGTTATAACGTACATTGCGGGATCGCACCGCCACCTTAAGCTGCATCAATTGTCAGGCATTAAGTATTTGCTACATAGCAGGATTTGCTTCTAGGGTGTTCCTGGAATGTTTCAAGCCCTGAGATTATACGAATAGGACACAGCCGAGATCCAGTGGTTAAGGGGTACATTTGATGAATTCTTTTATTTTCCATTGCAAAATCTCCCTTGAGAAGTATTTGTGGCCCTAAATCTACAGGAATCACAGGCCTTCTAACCAGACCAACCGCGCGTTGACTCGGAAGAACTTGACGTGCTAAATGACCCCTGGAAGTGGACTCATAATGGCAAGGACTGCTTGACAAAGTAAAGTGGATAATGGAATGACCACTGTAATGGCTTACGGAACTCATGCATTTTGGAATAGATACTGGATTTCTTCTGGTGTTGTTACCTGGGGAGCTGTACATTTTACATACCCTGGACATGACTGGTATAGAGGCTAGTTTGGAGTAAATGATTCTGGCTCGTACAAGTTTGCAACTAACAAATTCACAACTCTGTATTACCTTTGTACTGACGTGGTGGCTAGAATCTGGAAAACAAATGAAGCAAAATACAAAAGGTCGGAAACAAGCCATGGTCCCTAAACGATATCTAAAGATAGTTTGTATCCTCGATAGAGTAACAACAGTCCAACATGTTCAGAAGAAATTTGCATATACGTCTGACACCAGAGCATCGGCACTTCCTTCATACTTACCACAACACAAGTAGCCGACGTAGATTCGACAGTACCCAGTGGAGGCCTCTGGGCTCTTTCTCTTCGTTTTCCGCTGCATACTCTTTCACAGGTTTCTCCAGTTCCTAACTCCAGGTTTTGTCCTTATAGTCGTCCCGTCCACGATCGCAGTTTGTGAAGCCCTGATGAGTGTACTGTGTGCTGGCCAGCACGACATTCCACATCGCACCACACTTCCACATAACCAGCATAAGGCGCCACATGAGCCTTATTTTTTCCGAATGCTTGCGAGACAAGCAAGCTTCGAGGACATCTGCGCAGTAGGTGGCCTCTACCGGCAAGCGGGAGTCTCTGCCATCTGCAAAGTCTAGCACTGGGCGCACAAGTCTCGTGATTACGCCTTGGAGATCCTTGAAGCCCGATTCTTCAATACGGTCCAATTCGACCCTCTGACTATCCATGACGAGCTGGCCAGTGTTATATGTCAGACCGTTCTGGCTTGTAAAGGTGCTAAATGTAGGTGCTAATAAAAGCTTCTCAGGGCATACGGCATACTCTGCCGACGGAGCGATCCTACTCATGAGAGCCACCGTCCGATGTCGCAAGTTGTCCAATTGCCACCAGTGCGTGAACAATATTGCAAGCGCCCCGGTGTTGAAGGGGTCGTTTTTCGCATACCACTCTACCGCAGCTATCACCCCTACGTATACAGACCACAAGGCTTCCAGCGACAGGTCGCCCCGTGTCAACGAAGGGATGATGTTGCTAATTCCGCCGCATGAAATGTCCGGGCCAATGTCAATCAGGTCATGGACCGCACAACCAGTTCCTACCATAGCCAAGCTTGCCTCGTCGCCGGGGCAGTCATACCAGACATGGCAAAAGACAGCGTCGGCTAGTCTATATCGTGACAAGGCGGCCAAATCATCCCAAATAGCCACGCAAGGCTGGGACTTGAGGCCCTGCCTTGCATCTTCTAGTGCCGCTTTTGCTTTGAGGGCTGTGAAATTGCACCCTACTACCGTGACAATGTCTAACAAGTGCTCGTTCAGTTCAACGTTTCCGGTATCATGCCCGCGCACAACGGCAAATGTGTTGCTTAGCTTCTCGGCAAGATGTGTATTGAGGGTGCCTGCCGAGTAGTCGAACATGAATGAGGAGTCCATGAGGGCCCAGAGCCCGGCTATGCTGCCGCCATACACACCTCTATCGTAGCCCAGTGCCATGGCAAATAAGCTTGTATTGCGCATGCCTCCCCTCAGACGCTCGCGGTCGCAGAGCGCATTGTAGGCATCCGTGGGACAGGTGGCATAACCACTGAGCTTGGGGGGCAGCGGCCCCCTAAGAGGAAGCTTTGGAAAGGAAGCAGCTGTAGTAGACGTCCTCAGTCTGCCTATCTGGGTGTCGAGTCCGGAAGCCATGGTAGCATCTCTCATCTGGAGAAGTTGAGCTGCAATTTGGTATAGCTCCACGCTGCACATGACATTACTCAACACTCGAGCGTTGCGAAGTAATCCCACGGAGAACATCTGGTAGGCCAGCTCATCTTGCGGGCATCCCAAGACAGGAATATGGCCTTGGTATCTGAATATACCCTCGTCTACCCCGGTCTCATTGGCATGACGATGGAAGCTTTGCGTGGCTCGGGCCTCAGTCTTCTCTGCATGAGCTATACACTGCATATCCACCTCGGCCAACGTCCAGGCCGTTGCCGCCGTGGTATGTGATATCGTACCTTCCAGCTTGTATACCGTCTTGGACACCCATTTTTCGACAAGAAGGAAGCCCGGGGTAGGCGGCACATTAAGCAGCTTGGAAAGGTTTGTAGTCGACACCTGCGTGACCCTACCCATATTTCTACCCTCCAGTCTAGCAAACCACTGGCTAGGCAACTCGGTCGCATCCCATGATGGTGAACGACTGCACCCACCGCAGTATTGGGCGCCAGGAAAGAGAAGTTGTCCTACAGAGGGCTTCTTTGATATTCCTTCTTTGTTGCCCTTTGCATTCCGGCCCCATGACTTGGCAACAGCCTCTGCCGCCACCTCAGCCTGAGATACGATATTCTGAAGTTTTTCGATGCAGCATTGCCCTGGATTTTCGCAACTCCCTCCGCACTTGAATGATCTTCCAATGGGAGATGTCGATGGAGCAGGGTCTGCGTTGTGTACGGCCCTAGCAAAGGTTTCAGAGTCGTCACAGTCTATGTCGTCCAAGAAAACTCTCTGTTGTCGATCCAAGTTCGAAACACTTCCTCCTGTTGCCAATGCTGGCAGGTACCAGTCTTTGCTCTCGTATGAGAGGTCCATTTGTGGCTGTTGTGGCTGTAAGGAGTTGTGTGTAAAGGGTACAGCCGCCCTGTAGTTTAACACAAAGCAAGAATCAAAAAGACAGAAGACTTTCCAATAAAGAGGACATGGAGGAAACCCTCAGCGGTAGTACAGACGAAAGGGCTTCTTATGGCAAATCCGTATAATCCGATCCAGGCCTAGATGAGTGTACACGTCAAAGAGAGCAATTGCTTTGGACACCTGATGCGGCATTTCGTGGTGAGAGTCTCAGCTTACGTTGGTTTGTTGCTGTCGACTGACTGTAACCGGGTGGAAACGGCTTGCAAAAGGTCTCTGCGTTCTGGTCTCCTGCAGAATTAAGTCTTCTCCGCTCTTCTCAGACAATCAACAGCTGAAAGGTAGTTCTAGGCCTCATTCTTGCCTCCATTTCTGGGTACATTTCTTGCCACATCGGATGTGACCAGTCCTTTTTGGGGCACTGTTCCGGATAGTAATACTGCATTGACGGACAGGCCGACGCATCTACCACGAGGGGGATGGCCGATTCATGAAAGAACTGCTTTTAGTGGTACCCATAGATGTCACTGTCACATCTATAACTACCTAGATATGTATACAATTAGATATACTATAATATTAAGTTTTGCCCATGGGTACCCATTTCTGCACCATGCTCGTTATGTGGCATAAATATTCCGTATTAATGACGGGATACGCGATGGTACGTTCACACTCCCGCCTTATAGTTGGTGAAAATGCTAAGCCAAAGTGGGATCGGCTTGGCTTTAACATTAAGGAAAACTGGGGATATATTATAGTGAAAAACATGTGTTCGAAAGTGGGCAAGCGGAAAGCCCGATCCAGGGGTCACAACAGTCCCACCTTTCTATGCGGCATCACATAAGGAGTAGTCATGTATCGTATCCTAGGTCTTGCCGAGCTGTTGCATTCTCAGAAAAGTCACATGTCTAGCAGATACATCGAGTACGGCTGAACAAGCGGGGTAGCGCAACCAAGCCAAATCAACCAACCTGGACGGCTCGGAGTGGGAGGGTGCCGAGACAGATTCTGTCAGGTGTGATGATATGTGATGATATCTGTGAGGTACATGGAATTATCAGTCGTTGCTATGCGAAGAAACCTCCACGTAGCGTCGTAGTAGCTTCGGAGTAGTAGCTTCGGAGCAGTGCGGGACGATAACAGACAGTCTTCAGCTAAACTATATATTTCCTCTGTATCACTCCTCAAGGGGAGAAACCATTACCACCGATATTTCGAGCACGGTCTTGCGTTGACGCTAACTCTACGTATACATCCTTCTGCCAAACAACCTCAATTTCTCTTGTCCCTTTACCATGAAGATTTCAATTGTCCTTTTCTCAGCTCTTGCTGGTCTTGGAATGGCCAGTCCGACGGCAAACGAAAACTTACAACGCCGAGCTTGTCCTGTTGGCGCTGACGCGGCCCTTAAAGCTGGCGTTACCGTCGTGCGAAGCACTTTCGGTCTGATTAGCCCACCCAACCTTAATGAAGCTTTGGAGGCGGGCCAGAAATGCTTTAGAGAAGTCCTAGGCTGCCCAGTGCCTGGCCAGTGAGGAAGTTTAAGGAACGGACGTTTTGTTAGCTTCGGCCGTTGTATGGAGTTCTCTCTCGGGAGTTTAAGCTCGGCCGGCAGCTAGCGGGTCCATGTGCTTGTTGAATGTTAGCGATGGGTTCGATAGTGCTTGACAAAATACGTAGCCGAATGACAGATGCTTTGCGGTGATCGGGGCCGGCTACATGTGCCTAGTCCCAACTGGCAGTCCGAATGGAGACGAACTGTTCGTCTTTGAGTCTTCGTCGAATTCTCCTACCTCATTCGTCGTCGAGTTCATTTACGACCATTACCAAGCAGCTGCCAAGTTTTACGAGACACTTGGCAGGGAGTTAATTCGTGTTGGGCTTGAGAGGACAAGGAAGACATGTAGCTGACCACCAACATTACGAGGAAAGAAGAAATGGGAAAATGGGAAAGGAACTGTAGTTTTGCTTTTTTTTGGAGAGTTCTGGAAATTGAGAGCCATTTTCGAGTTTATCGCCAGTTAAATGCCATTCAAAAACTAAAGTTGCAGTCGTTACTATAATGTACTGGAATATTCGTGCTGCGGAGTCACTTGGAATAGATATTGCATCCCGCTAAGCACAAGACGTTTTACCTTCTGCTTAGCTTTGGAATAAACTCGTAACAGCTTAAATGCTCTTCAAAATTTGTGCAAGTTATGCGGAGAGCTCAAAAGCTTGGTGATATGAGACGGTGCCCGTAGGCGTTGGCTTACCCCAAGTGAGAGTTATGAAATACTCCGGAGGCACCCCTTGCAGTTGCAGAGAAGAACCTGGCCTGAAACCAAAACGCGCATAATACTTCGGGTTTCCCACGACAACGCATCTAGCACCGTGGTGAGCCTGACGATCCGCCAACGCCCGTCCCATTAACAACGGCCCAACACCATGTCATTGATACGGCGGTAAAACGGCAATTGTTCCCAGCCCGTACCAATTCTCACCGCTATACGAGATATTTACAGGGAAGACGGCGACATGGCCGACAATTGTATGCGTGGCCTCGTCTTCTGCGACTAGCGAGATGGATAGATAATTCGCCTTACGAAGGCCTCGGACAATGTAATGCTCATTATGGTCTGAATGCTCGGCGTTTGTGAATGCCACTAAAATGATTAGATCGATTGTTAGCGTACCGTTTTCTCTCTCAGGTTGGATACGAATTTGCTTCGGGCTCGTCATCTCTCCGGGATTGCAAAGTTTTGATTCTGTCTGAAATATGTGACTTGTAACGAAGACGACGACGACGACGACAATCATAATCATGAAAGGCTCAGGACGAAGTACGATCAAAAGCGAGAACCTCAAGCAACATATGATTCTGGCTAGGAACTGCTCACAATGAATGAGTCATCGCGAGTTATTCGGCGAAGGCCGCTGGTGCCCGCCTGGGGAGTAACGCTACGGAGACGGCTGATTGATGGCGGCCAACGTGGGCGTTGCTGCCGTTAGATCGACAGGAGCGAGAATTATTTCAACTGTAGAGGGCCAAGAAAAACGCCTTCGGCCGACGATGTCCATGCCGTCGAGCGACAAAGATGGCTGGTGAACATGTTGCAGGCACCAACGACGATAGGATTAGCAGTGAAACGCGTGACTCGTACGGCTAGAAATTACCGCTTACTTTATGGCGAATCCTATTGACGGATTATGCAATCTTTGTATAATGAGATGCTTCCACAAAGAACCAGATTAGCTCCGTTTTGCCCGCTTGATTTCGGTAGCGGTCGCACTCGGCATAGCAGTGTCTTTTCCGCATGTGTAGAAAGCATATGGTAAGATAGGTCCTCACGCTGACGCATTGTCCATTCATCAGGATTTCTAAATAGTCATCTCAGGCCCCTTTAACATGTATTTTTTCGACGTGCCACTTGCTAAGCAAACTTCCCCTTTTTTGCCCAAAACCCAGTGACAATGTTCCAAGTCTGCCGTGAAAGGGTCTCTAGTATAAACATTTAATAATTTTGCCCAAAGCGTGCTCTCTATGACCCTTGTTGTGTTCCATAATGTCCACAAACGTGATGGGCACGACATGGTTGAATAGGCAGGCCAGTAGCAGTCAAACAAACTACTTCTCCATATCTATTAGCCGCACATTGAAAACGAGGACTGATGACGCCCTACTTGTCAGACCAAAAATAAATCCTCAGCCATGGATATTTCACGAGGCACTTGGTGGATGGCAGTGACGAACCGGCCTGTGAGTTGGACGACAATTTTGCCCCCATGGTGATCACCTACCTCATCGACCTCCGAGATGAGCCGTGTTCCTGTATATGCTCAACCGGAAGACTCATGTCTCTTTGCATTGTCCACACGGTCGATCATGGTAAAGCCAAGGTTCTGTGATGGAAAAATTGCGCACGCATAAAGGTGTGGACCTTGACTTTGTTAGAGAACACCGTTGAATGCCAGCAAGTAATAGCAATACATAAGTTGAAAGCCTTTAAACTTGGCGGCTTTGAAATTGACTTCAAGTACGGAGTATAAACGGTCTTTTAGCTCTTTCAACCCGATTCGTCAGGATACTGGGACCCTATTGCTGCGGTTATATTCACGAATAACTCGCAAACAAGCTACTCACGGGTCGATTACCCTAGGGCGGTGAAGGACCTAGTAGAGCGATTAAAACTGCACTCCTCCTCCGAACTTATGTAGAAAGCACGGAGATAGATGTCAGTTAAGCCAGGTAGTTGTTTTGCCTCGCCCTTGATGGATTCCGGGATAACTGTGTCCTTCCTCCAGAAACATCGATTTGAGTCATGCTGTGTATTAGAGATATCAATTCACTTAACTCTTGGCAACATCTAGACTCTATTGGGTATATTGATTTCAAAAACCAGAGGGCTTATAGACATTAAAACTCCGTACCAAGGCTATTCATCCACGGTAAACTGGCGAATCGCCGATACCATCTAGTCACCATGCGCGTCTCAAATGGGAGTGCTGATTACGTTATCTCATGAACCTTGCGGTCTGACTGTACGTAAGCGATTTGGTAACCACACCAGCGGTAGTGAAACGAAGATCATTCAGGTTACAAACAGACCCAATCGAATTGCTGTCAGCATCGTTTTCGGACGGTGACTCTGCGACAGTCATCCTCGGCCATGCAGACCTTTCCATACGCCATCAGCGAGCACCGCAGAGCGGCAGTTCGGCAAAAAATAGTTGGCCAAATGCATCTAAAACGCACTTGTGACGTATCGGCGGTGTCGTTACATCGTGGCCGTGCATCGAGAGCAGCCGAGTCATTGTCCGTCCTGGTCAACATGGCCCTCACCATAACATACTTTCGTACTAGTAAATTGCCTGAAATCAAGTCAAAACTAGCTCTCCTGGCGCAGAAAAACCGCATACCAATCTTGTGGATTGATACGCTCTTCGGGTATCACGCCGAAAAAACATGGCTGGTAGCCCAGACGCAGTGTACCTCGGAATGGTTTCACCCCAGCGCAGATCGCTTCGCTGTTGCCGACTTGAGGCGGATCGCCAGAGGCAGCACGGGTCGGCCGCCTCTCTGATTCCCCAGGGCGATTCGATTAAAACCCGCGGGACGGCAGCTGCTAATTTGCGCCGCCAAGAAACGGCGAAATGCACATGGATCGCCAGGAAGCCACGTCCCTACTCGACGAGGAGCATGAGCAAATTATCATTCCCGCCAAGGCCGCCGGCTCTGGCGCCAATGACGACTCAGGTAGTTCCATCGAATGGTCAGCGTCTTTCGAATGGCGGATTGTGGCCTTGCTGGCCTTTGCCGCGTTTACAGTGTATGTTGATCGATCCGTCAACTTACACGGCTGCTTCAAACTGATGGCACTTCAGCACATTCAACTGCATATCGATATTCCCGGTAGCAAATACCGTCATACGCGACTTGAACGGCGGCAATGCCACCAGGACGGATGCAGTTCTCGTCGTCACGATATGGGAGCTGGGCGAGGCGGCAGGGCCGCTCATCACCGCGCCTCTGTCCGAGATGTTTGGGCGGTATCCCGTGTACGTTGTTTGTAATATGGTGTTTGTTTCGGGGGTGGTGATGTCGGCGCTTGCGCAAAACACAACCATATTTGTCGCGGCACGCGCCGTCGCCGGCATGGCAGTGGTGTCGAATGTCCTGAACCCAGCTATTATTGGCGACGTGTTTCCGTCAGAGCACAGAGGATCGGCCGTGAGCATCGTCATGCTTGCATCGCTCGTGGGTGGCAACTTGGGACCACTCTTGGGCGGAGCTGTCTCGCAGACTCTGGGTTGGCGTGCCGTTGTGTGGATAGGGGCCGTGCTGGCCGGCATTTGCGCGCTGCTTTTCTCGACTTGCTTCAGGGAGACCTATACGAGTTCCTTGGAGGAAAAGAAGCACGCCATTCCGGGGAAGGAGGGTGTCAGCGATGTTGGAACTGGCATGGACTTTGAGACGAGCTCGTCCTGCCCGCTTGTTGCTCGACTCCGGTGTCCTTGTATGCCTCTCCCTGTTTGGCTCCGTGGTATTCGCACTCTTTTACGTCATTTCCGTGACACTGCCAGGTATTTTGGAGGGGGTATACGGGCTATCAGAGGCGGAAACAGGATCAGCCTTCTTGGCAAACGGTAATTATAACACTCTACTGGGCTTCACTATACAAAAGTCTAGGCTAACTGTGCTCCTTACAAAAGGCATTGGCTCATTTATCGGCATCGTGCTTTCCAAGATGTATCTGGATAAGACTTACGTCAAGCTACGCGAGGCCAACAACGGAACCGGGCTACCAGAGTACCGACTCCCCGTGACGATTATCGGCGCTGTTCTGCTGCCTCTTGCAGTGGCCTTGTATGGCTGGTGTGCGGCCAACGAATTGCCGCTCATGCTCCTTCTGCTATCTGTTGCGTTGATGCGGCTGTTTCCAATGTTGGCCTTTGTGCCGTTGATGACATACATTGTGGATGCCTTTGGTCTCTACTCGGCCTCTGCGATGAGCGGCGTCATTGTTATTCGGTGCCTGGCTTGCGTGTTATTACCACTGGCTACGGTACATATGAGCCAGGCTCTCGGCCACGGCTGGGGATGCACTTTGCTTGGCGCTGTCTGTATGATACTTGCGTTGATTCCCATGGCCATTCTCCGTTACGGCCAGCATTGGAGACAACGGTGCAGGTACACCAGCACCTTTCCAGCGCATAAAGCCGACCATTGATTGGCGTTGACTGAAATTGTGGTTGATAGTCCTAAGAAGCATGTATATAAGGATAGAGGACCACCACCCAACACCGTGCATTTGTCAGACTCGTAGACAAAGGGTTGATTCTCCCTTTAGAATGGAACACGTGCGCCACGACGAAGCACAGTCAAGCTGCGCAAATTGACAGCTATATTGCCGCTGCCTATGTGAAATTCTGTTGGTTGATCCAACCCAATATATGACACGGTACATGTCATTCGTAGTCCTTGGTGGGCTACACATTAGCTAAATCAAGTCTATGTATATGCTGCTCTTGAGGTAGTTTAACGCCAGACGCCACATCCATGACTGAGTCTTTCCCAGGCTCATGTCCAATTCGTAACCCATACCATTGCGGCTGTTTTTGATGCTCTCCATGACATTTACAATTGCACCTCGTTCAAAATGCGCACCTCCTCACCCGGCTTAAACGCCGGCAGCCCGATGAATGGGCACGTGGAGCACCTGAATGCATCTCCCAGTGAGCAATTATTGCACGAGCCTGTTTTGCCCTTGACGGTGAAGTCCAACTCATTCAGATCGTTCGTATCAAGCTTGATAGCTTCGAGGCCGGCGTTGGCTTGCGATCGTCGCTCTTTCTCTTCGGCTTCGAACTTAGCGGCCAGACCGCAAGTGCAGTCTTTGCAGGGACGGCGGCGCTTCTGGGGCTGGCACTCAGTCGCTACCAACGATTAGCATTTGACATGGATCACGATTGCTGTGCATCGTGGGAACGTACGCGCTTGGGGTCGTCTCTTGAGATCTTCTTCTCCCAACAAATCATCCTCATCAATCAAATCATCGTCGTCGTCGTCGTCCAGCTTGCTAAAGTCAAACTTTTGCACTGGCGCTGGGGTCTTTTTCTTGCCGAACCGCAGGGGAATGACGACTTCTTCCTCCTCTTGCTTCTCAAAGCCACCATCCGTGGCAACAAGGCCGGAGAGAATGGCCTCTTTGGACTCGGCCGCGCCCAGCTGACCGCCCTGGAACTGCAATCTGCCGCCGACCCTCATGGCGGGGACTAGCGAGGCAAACAGGTGGCGGTTCAGCAGTCCCGCGGACTCGGCGGCGCGTGAGCCATCAGCGTCGGTGAGAACGAGCACCAAGTCATATGTCGCGGCGGGCAGAGACACGAAGCCAGCGGACAGTCGGTCGAGCATTTGGAGATCGGTATTGGCGCGGTCAAAGGCCGTGAAGATTTGTCGCAGCTTCTCCTCGTGAGCGGCCACCGACGGCGGGGCGAGTAGAAGATTGCGCTTCGCAGGGGTCGCCACCGCCGCCAGGACCGCAGAGGGGACGGGGACAAAATCGTCCGTGGGGTCGATGAAGACTGGGTGAGGAGCCATGATTTGTGTCGAGAGCGTCTCTCCGTGGTAGTGATGGAGTTGCAAGGCGATGATGGACAGCACTTCAAGAATGAGAACGAGAGCGGCGGCAGAAATGTCTGTGCCGGGGTTGCCAAGTTGTACTTCCGTGACTTTTTCTGCAGTAAGCCGACGTCGGCATGTCCGCGGGGAAGATGTGGTGCGGGATCAGTGGCTAATTAGTCAGGCAGCATTTGTAATCGCCCATTGGTCGGATCTCTCGTTGGCAGGGCTGGGTGACTGGGTCCCTTGGCTGCAGCAAGGAGGACTGCAGGCGGCCACAAAATTAAGTTGTCGCGTCGGGTGGCTCCTTTCCTCCGCCCTTCTCTCACCAACGAGTCTGGACACTTCCGTTTGTCATCATCTAATCACCACGGCTGATATCGCACCGTGTAGCTCTCGGGCGGCTTCGTCAGAGGACAGACCACGGACGATTTAGTCCAAACATGCTAAACAGCGACAGCGGCCACGTGCGAGTCCGGGCGCTCTGGGAGTGCTGATGCCCTTGCATCCGCATCCGGAACTGCGTACTGACATCTAGCAGCAGCGCAAATAGGGCCGGGCGTCATGTGCAAATGTCCTTTCTGGTCGGACTGTTGAATTTGCATCATGTTTTCGCACTTATCTTTGTCACGTGCATGGTCGTCCTCTGCCCATGAGCTCCAGTCCCCAAAGTAGGGCCTGTGGTGGAACTCAATGGCATCCTCGAAATCTTCCGAGCCAATATTCTAGATAATGTCTATCATCCATGTGGGCCAAAAGGGCAGAGGCGACCACTTGCGAATACTTTTGTCGACGAATATAACCCGCATTAAGTTGCTCAAGTTATGTAGCCCTGTTTTTTTTTAGGAGAATGCACTCTTCCAAATCCTATATATTGAACTGAACTACCTACTCTTTACCAAGTTGGCTTCCTATAAATAAAGGGACATGGCCGCCAGACTGTGAGCTTTAAACAATAAGTTAACCATCAAGTCCATTCTTCTCGGTAAGTCAAGCAGTGTTCGAGCTCGTTTTGATTCTCCGGCGGAATGTCGGACATTGCTTATTAGCAACTAATTGGCAAGTGGAACGAACACTTAGTCGCCAATGAGAACCTATGTATGTAGTCTTGCTTCCTTACAATTCTGAAAAAGGGGACCTGCAGTTGGCGCGTTTAACCCTCCACCGATGACGTACAGTGTCACGTGCTTTACCCCTTCGTTGGCCAGGCACAGCCATTGTACCTTTCAGAACTCAGCCCTCTAATTGGTTCAGACCCCTACCCTGACCTCTCAGTTGAAAGATGCCCCTGGGGAGATGCAGGCCATCATGTGCCATGCCATCCCATTCCACGGCTCTAGCCGGAAGGATGCCAGCACTTTGAGAGGTAGGACAGTCTTGCGCTTTTCCAACCGAGATAGTACAGTGCTAGCACTTGAGGCTTTCAATGGCATTGTTTGGTGCCGCACAGTCTCGCGTAGATGACGAGCGCAATCACTTCGTCGAGGCCATAGGGAATCGCGAAAACGACATCCGACAACTGGCAACTGCGCATCATCCAAATGCCTTGCCATGCGAGTTATTCCGTCTGCCCGGATCCAGAGGCTTTATGGCACGCGGAACTTTCAATATCTGCTTCTTTGTACAATTCCCTACAGGCGAACGATGGGTCGTTCGAATCCCATTGCGACCCTGCCTAGCAGTCTCCGCGCGAAGCAAGCTAGAGAGCGAGATTGCCACCATGTCGTCAGCTCCCTCCATCTGCCCATGTGTTTTTGTTGGCATACTGACTCGTGTTAGACTTGTAACAGAAAGGACGACGATTCCCATTCCCCAAATTGTCGGGTATTCCCTAGCCGAGACGTGCGATCCTCTGTCCACATACATTATCATGGAATATGTTGAGGGGGGGACTCTTTCTATGGATCGACTACGCAGCGCAACCGCCTCACAGAGGGACAACTTGTACAAATCTCTAGCCAAAGTCTATACACAGCTCAGACGGCTGGAGTTCCCTGCCATTGGAAGGCTCGGTCAATGTACAGACGGGTTTGAAGTATGTCGAAGAGCCCTGACTATAGATATGAATGGTCTGCAGATCGAGGGACTTGACCCATTTTCCACGCAAGCCTCATATCACGACAAGAATGATTCGCTAGTTTCAGCAAATGACTACATCGCCATGAGATTACAAATCAGCTGGAACGCTTTTTTAAAAGGTCGAAACAGTATCGAACAAGGCATGGCCGCTAACGTTTTATATCATCTGCAACTGTTTTGTAAACATGTTGAGAAGTGGAAAGACCCAGCGCTCGATCGGGGCCCTTTTGTCTTGACCCATGGCGACCTTGGGCCGCAGAACCTCATCGTTGATGACACCCTAGAAATCAAAGCCGTCATTGATTGGGAATGGAGCCGTGTAGTACCCGTGCAACTTTTCACTCCGCCTCTGTGGCTCACCTGTCGAGATACTCCTTACGTGACTGCGCCTAATTCTTACAAACTCTATCTGAAGAAGGCCTTGTTGAATTTTCTTGAAGCCGTGAGGACACAAGAACTGAGCACATTTGGCGAAGACCGACTGTTTGAGGAGTGGACCTCGAGAAAGGATAATGCCGAACCTCTTGTGGCCAATGCTTTGGAGAACTGGACCGATATTGACTGGTTCGCCTACCTGTATTTAAGTAAAGGCGACGATGCAAAGTTAGAGGAAGACGTCAGATCCTTTATTGAAGCTGACCCCATCCGGGGCCTCATCACTCGAATGAAAGAAGACGACACCATCGCCTACGTGGAGGAGATGCAGCAGCTTGAAGATGTTAAAGCGCGATCCGCTATGCCCGACAATCGTGTTACAATTTCAAGGCTGGCTGATTGGATGTCATCAGAGCACATGAAGTTGTGGACCATGCAAAGCTTACCGCTTTTTGCAGGGGCAAGTATTGTTTTTGTTGGTGGACTATTGGTAGGAAGGAAACTGGAGGCTATCCCCAGGCTTGTAGCAGGTTTATCTCTTTCTGTATCTCGTCTTGTCTCTGGGTCAGCTCCATGATCTTGTCCTCTAGGGAGTCAACCTCCTCCTGGAGCTGAAGGTTTGAAACCTCCTTTTGCCGCTTTGCTCTGGCCGCATTTGAGGAGGAATTCATTTGCCGTGCAACCTCTTCCGACATTCGGCTTAATATTTTGCTCATGTCTAGTTTCAATTGCTCAATGCTGGCTTGCACTTTTTGCAGCTGACTCTTCTTCTCCTCCAATTCGGCAATCCGAGCGTGGCTTATTTTTAATTATACAAACACCATGTGCTGGTCGTACCTAAACCAGAAAACCGAAACATACCGAAGGCCAAGTCTTTTGTCTATAGATCTCACATATGCAGCGGCTAGTTCGTTGATCCTGCATCTCCTATAGCAGGAATGAGCAGGTCAGAGGAAAAGTTTAGAAACAAGTCGTCACGATGGCTACGTACATGAAATCCAACCAATGGCGTTTGTGTGCTCTGTCAAGCTCAGCCCGGGGACTTGGGCAAACAAGACCGATGGGTGAAGTGTAGCGTGCGCCGTTGCCGTTTTCGCATGAATCTTTGCTGGAATTCATTATGAGCGTCATACTACACGGGTTGAAAAGCGTGAAAAATGCACATTTTTGCCAAAGCCGGGGGACGCTCTGACAAGGGCAGGATGACTGGGCTTGGAACATGACAGGTTTAATTCAATCTTTAAAAATTGACTTGAAGGTATTAAAAGTCGCTGGTCTTTAAAAGGCATTGAGGGACATAGACCTTTATATATGCAAGTCCGCGTATGCGAGAGGCCTGAGGCGGATGTCCGACATCAGGCCCTGTGGCAAGGGCTAATACGAAAGGGCTTGGAACAATCTTCAGTTGAGCTAATAATTCGCTTTGATATAAAACGTCCTTGATTTTCTCAAAGCCTCTGGGGGCAGATGACCCTTGTCTAACAAAGCGCGGTGAGCAAACGAGCCTTGGCCCTGAGGCCTCAACTAGGTCTCGAGCCTTTGTGTGACTATCGTCAGGTTCAAGGGTCGGCCCGTGCCTTTACAACGTGACCTCCAGGTACCAGGCCTCTTGATACCTTCTTTCTTGTTGCGTGACCGTTGTTGGCCCAACGCCTTTGTTGTGGCCTGACCGTGTGATACACATGCCGCTGGCCGGACCGACATGAACATCGTAGATCGAACAGGGGTTCCGCACTCTCGTAGTACCCAGCCGTAGACTGGCTAGAGTTGGTATTTTGCTTTATAACGGTTCAGGTTTGGATGATATGTATAGCGTTATATAGTGCTAAATGCATCCTTGCTCGGATATGTCTTATAAATATCTTTGACATGTCAACAAAACACTTCATTTATACAAAAAGTATTCAAATTTTCAACTTGAGAGCCATATTTACGGAGCCTCTCGATATCAGCCTCGGTCGAGGGGACACTGTCACGAACCGAGATCATTGTTTCGGGAGTCAAGCTTGGATAAGGGAGCTCGAGATTTCAGCGAATACAAGTGGTGAGAATCACGTAGCAAGCAGAGGTCAGTGATTCAATGCTATAAAAACGTACGTAATAGTCATGTTGCGCTTGTCATCAAGGGCCATCAGGTATCACGGAGGCGTAGAAATACGTTGCGAATTGAGGTATAACGATTCATAAATAAAAGCCACGCTCTTGGAATTGTACCTAGTTGTTGAAATGGGCGGCATGTGTCCACGGACCTACATGTCCAAGCCAGAAAATAGCCAGAGTATCAGCCTGCAAGCTGCCAGCGAGCACAAATCGACCCTCCTCATAAGATTCCCTGTTCTCATTCAAGAGTCATAACACATGTAACACATCTACAAACTAGCGAAGGCAACTGAATATAAAGATGTGGCCAACACTATCTCATCTATCGTCCGACTTGGATCACGTCAAAAAATCGTTGGATCCAAGCAGGTCAGATAGAATGCTAGGGTCGAAGTCAAAGCCATTGTTGTTTCCTCCCGGCTGAAAGTTATTGCTTCCGGGGGGGCCGTTGGGGGGCTGGTTATCGAAACCGGGGAAGGTATTTGGGGGTCCGTTATTATTGCCGGGAAAGCCATTAGGAGGCCCATTATTCGACCCCGGGAAGCCATTGGGAGGCCCGTTATTAGAACCCGGGAAGCCATTGGAAGGCCCGTTATTAGAACCCGGGAAGCCGTTAGGAGGCCCATTATTCGAATCAGGGAAGCCATTAGGAGGCCCATTATTTGAACCCGGGAAGCCATTGGGAGGCCCGTTATTCGAACCCGGGAAGCCATTAGGAGGCCCATTATTCGAACCCGGGAAGCCATTGGGAGGCCCATTATTCGATCCCGGGAAGCCATTAGGAGGCCTGTTGTTGGAACCCGGGAAGTCGTTTGGCGGCTGGTTCCCATTACCAGGTCCTGCGCCGCCACAGTTATTTGCAGCGTCTCGGGCAAAGAGTGCGTAGTTTTCGGCATTGCTTAGACTCTGCTCTGTCGAAAGGCTCAGGGCATTTCGTTTGCCATATGCAACATCACGCGACGCCACCGTGGTATGGGACATCTCGTGTACGAGTAACTCGCCCATGTTGTCCAGATTCTCTCCGCAGCCCGGGCCCTGGCCCAGGTTTTGTCGGCGCTGACGGCCACCCGAGGACATGCGAAAGGCGCTGCGGCAGAGCCGTATATGGCCCGGACCGCTCGATTTGATGGTTGCTACTGCCGCCAGCTCCAGGTTGCCGGTTTGCGGAAGAGTGCATGGCTCGTTCGGGGTGCACTCAATGGTGATGGGTTGGTTCCCGCCATGGCCGCAACCGTCAGCAATCCTGGCAAAGTGTTGTGCCACTTGTTCGGGATCGTTGGTCTTGAAGTAACCCTCAAAAATCGATGATCCTTCTCTGGCCGCCTGCTCGGCTTTCTTTGCTAGCTGGGCGCAACTTGCGAGGGCGGCATCAACCTCTTGCTGGTTATTGGCACAGCTCCCGTCTTGGTTTGCGCGTTTCTGTTCAGCCAGTTCGTCCTCGTTGATCGAGCAACCGGAGCCGTTGAGAACACCAAGCTTTGCAAGACCCTCGAAAGTCTCGGTGAGGCTCGGTCCTGCTCCGGATTCTAGAAAAGATGCACGGCCGCTGATGGACAAGGCCATGACCGTGGCCGGGCTCAAAGCCGTAACAATTCCAATGAGTCTCATGTTGACTCTGGTCATTCTTTCTGCATCTGTGCCTTTTCAAAGTATGGGGTGCAATGTATGTAGGAATAGACGACTATGACACGATCAAGATGCCCTGGCGTGGAAGCAGGCAAAAGTTGTGAGCATTTATATGGCAATTCATTACCCGACCTGTGCTTGAAGACGTTCAGATATTTCCATATATCCAAGCCCACAAATCCCACTTAGAACCAAGCAAGCCCTATCCAGGTGTTTCATTCCCAGCTCAAGAATATCATGCCCCCAGCTGACCGCTGGCGCAAATGGCGGTGCTACATGGATTGGGCGAGTTGTACTTGATGCCTAGAGCGTGAATACTTGGCAAGTCGCATAGCGCAAGTTGCACGACACGAGATTGAGGAGCACGGAGTTTTAGTACTTTATGCACAGGATACTAACGGGGGTCAAGGGTAGAAAATAACGTTTCGCTACGTATAGCTCACAGCAGCACTCTCAAACCCAGGTAGCAACGGCTGAGAAAAACGTCCTCAGCCCTTATTCAACGTTTCAAGCCGTACATGTCCATGGGTCGGTCCCAGTTTTCGAAAGTGCCACGGGCTTGGTGTTCATGCCAGCTCATGTTGGCTCACTACTAGACGTCAATCCCTCGCCTTCAGGGAGACTGGTAGGAATAGTGCTCAAGATGAAGGCGAATATTTGACCATGACATATTCGATGGTGAAGACGACGGTATCTGGCGATGGACAGCTGGGGCCACGCGAACCCGAGTCATTCAGCCAATATGTAAAAGTGAAACACGATCAAATGCAGTAGCGTGTTAGCACTGAAGCGAGTTCTTGCCCACGACTAACTAACTAACTACATCTTGATAGGCCCAGAAACGCAGGCCCCGCACGTGCAATATGAATGTGACATGTATCGGGTGACATATGCGCCGACATGACATACGACGCGTGACGGGGGATATCAATCGCCACAGCAATTTCTCGCGGGCGGCTTGGTTGGTCTCCAACTACTCAATTAGTTACCAGGATTCCTTATCCATGTGCCGAGCACTTTAATACTTGCCGTATCACCTGGCCAAGGTGGTCCCTAGGTTGTAACAGTTTGAAACTGAGCCCAGTGGAGCTTCTCCAGTCGATCATGGTGACATCCCGGACAGCAGATCGACAAGGGCCAGCCAACTTCAAGTTTCCTCCGTCGAATCGGAGAGGGGCCGGTATTTCCCTGAATGCTCCGTAGCAACCCTTGATTGGCACATGTTTAGGTTTCAGCACACCCAAATCGAACCACCGCCCACCCATCCCGCGAGTAAGTTCATGATGTCTTGTTTCGGAGAAGGGCCAGAACCCAGCATCAAAACTGCTGCGATCCGTGTTGCAGCTTCTACGGTCAGTGTAGGTTGACCTTGAGAACGAGCTGTATTTGTCCCTATAGCAGGGTAGTGCAGGTCACATCTTATGCCACCAAGCGGCAGTATACTTGACTTCCGGGTAAGCAAAACATCCTCCAAAAAAATTGATTGACTGGTGCGTATACGGCTAGCAGCTATGGGGCGCATTTACAGTGGACTGGTCCTTCATTAAAAGTATCTAGCTAATGTGATATCTCTTTCTACAGCTGGGAGAGAGCTGCCTGTAGATTACATCTAGAACCTTGTAACATGGATATTACCGAGACATTGTTCAAGCATCTAGCACTTAGTGGTAAAGACGTCTTCTAAGAATCTCTCTCGCTGAAATTCTAGGGGAGATAGAAAGGGATTAAAACCCCACCACCGGAGTTTCCCCTCCTTTTGGGTAGTACAACGAAATGCAATTAAAAAACAATCACATTTCAGTGTCGGAGTTCAACAACCTCATTATAAACCGGATTCATGGGTTGTACAGATGCAGACAGAGCTGGCTGCATAAACCGTCCCGCCGTTGTGGTAAGACAAAGTGAATGGTCGACCAGAGACCGATCATGGAGGCATTTCGAGTAAGCCTGCTGTGGGGGGGCAGCGAGCTGCTAGTAGACATGAGGAAAGTAGGGAGGTTCAGAGATTAATGGAACTCGTTCTACAAACCTACCTAGTAGCCAAGATTACCTGCTTCATCCCGGTAGTCATTCTGCTATCAACACCCAGTCCTGACAGCCAGCACACTGTATCACTGGGAGCGTGGACTCCACGGCGGTCAACAAGAGGCTCCTTCTTTGTACACAATAATATGAATAGTCAACTTTTCAAACGCCCGGATCTTTTGGTTTCGATTTGACATGACAACGTCACTTCCTCTCTGTCAACTACGGCCAAGGGTCCATGGCATATTGCAAGGTAAGAATGTCAGCGTTCAGAAACGGCGGCTCCGATGTCTCAGCCAATATAATTCTGCCCTGACTGGTCGCTTGGTCATCCGAGTTTTACACCATGGTATAGGTGGGCTAAATTGGACATGCAGAAACTGACATCAGCAACCTCCAGTGAGCTGTTAAAGTCCGTCAGCTCGGCCCAAGCAGGTAGAGACATGACTAGTAAAATTACAAAAGTGAAAGGTTTATCTAGTATCCTTAACATTACTTTGTGGTTTGGAATGATCTAGCGACTGCCCGATGATTACCATTTGCGGCCATATAACTACACGTTGCCGAGATCCGAAGCATGGCCAAGCAGTGTTCCCGAGCTTCGTGGTACTCCGTATGGACGGGTGGTATTTCGGATATCCAGCAGCATATTTTGATGCTATGATTCCTTGTCATCGTTTCACTGAACCCTGCACTGTAGTAGGCAGGTAAGCGTAATACACGCTGTCCTACACACCATGCCTCGCTCTCCACCAATTGTTGACATGGAGGCAGAGACGGGTGACACTTTTGATGAATCTCATCAGTCCGATGTTAATCGGAATTGGTACCCAGCGCGTCCGACGCGGTGAGACTGATGAGCCGTTATCTCACCCGGTGGCCTCTCGCCCGTGGCGGCGAGGTCGACGCGCTCTGCTTCGGCGCGGCGTTGGACGAGACTAGCAACAAGGGCTGGAACTCTGCAAGGACAATTTCTCTGACACATCTATCATTCTTGGGATGGTGTAGGAAGAAGTTTTCTCAGCCAGCCTCACCAGAGGGCTCAAGGTGCACATACATTATCTGCACTTATAAGATTTTACGAGCGCGTAGTTTAGTAATCACGTCCGTCAATCCTTGTTGAATTCTGGCGTTACAGCGCATTTTCGAGAGTCAGTCGGCAGAGATGTTGAGAAATGTTGTATTGTCAGTGCGATGCTCGTCGTTGTCCTTGGACAGTCCGCTCGACACACTTTGCGCCGTGGCCAAGTATAAAAGAGCGGCAAGCTGCCGTAGGATCGCAAATCAGCCCAGCTACATTGAACCAAAGTCAACTTTGAAACCAGTCATCAAATCAAGGGTAGCCAAAAATGCGTCTTTTCCTTTTCCCCGTCCTCGCCATGTTTTCGGCTACCAATGCGCAGCTGGGAGTCGTTGTATTTACTTCCTCGCTTCTCCCTATGTATTATTTTTTCAGAGTCGCTCATTCAAGATAGGGTGATCTATATAAGAACACGAATTGTACAAGCAAGGATCCGATTCCGACTTATCTATATAGCGGGAATTGTACCCGTGTCGAAGGTTTTGGGTATGCGTGTCGTCAGGTTTTCTTGTTAAAGATGTTGAAACTAACTAGTGGCAAAATAGGTCCATTTATCCCAGACTTGATAAATTTCCCAATTGCCACAAGTATTTGTAAGTACTGGTAAAGAACGCTGAGGGCCGCTGTAGCTGCTACTAGTCTCTGATAAAATGAGCCGATAGGACGTTGGACTGCCGAGGCCTGTCCGATCCAGTGGACTTGAATAGTAACAAATGCAACTCATTCGACAGAAATGGCGCTCCATTTTCCATTATATGTTACGCTAGGAAGTGGTAAATGAACGGGGGTTCGCCAGCTTGTGGCTACTCGGGGTTAGAGGTTCTCCCAAGGAGAGCTCTTGGTTGTTGTATGGACTTTTCGATTGGAATTCAACCTCGGCCGGCCAAGGCCGGACTGTTATTCTTGGCATATAACTTCTTGATGCCTGAAGTCTAGAAAGCGATGATACAACCAATCCATGTCTCCACGCCATTCTAGTTCCTGTTGCCGCGTAGCGCCAGCTAAGTGTGCCTAGAGTTTGATGAAAGGTGTCCCGTAAAATATTAAATATTTACTAGTCATATTGGCTATATTACTTATACTACTGCAAAAAATAGGTTTTGAAGATGGTCACGTAGACCTGCCGCTAGGCTGACTGGTTGTCTTATAATCTCGTCATCTTCAGCTACCGTCGGTGACCCTCATTGGGCATAGTATAGCGAGGTAGCATCACTGAGCGGATTCTTAGGAATTAAATCCCGTCAGGGTTGATATTATCTGCATGGGAAGTTTTCTTTTGCTCTTGACTGTGAAAACACTGTTAATGTGTCACACGGGTGTTGCACGACGACTGTGATCACGAGACCTAGGGCATAAGGCTCCCACTGATCTCCAGTATAAATAGAGTTCTCTTGGGTCATCTCGGCCTTTAAAAAAACCCAAGTGCGCTTCATACCAGAGATTGTTGTTAGATGGATTGAGTTATTACTCCAAGCCAGACGCCCTACTGAGCCCTTGTCACATAATGCTACCATAAATCTGGTCGAAAAAGACTCTATTCCACCATATGACAGGGACTGACAAACTCCATGAAAGCTAATTTTATATGAATACCATTTGCTTTCTACCCCTAAGCGCCGGCAAGACATACTGATTACTCTAGAAACCTCTCCAGGCTTGAGATGAGATGGCCCTGCAACAAAAGAAATCCAATTGTGGCAGAAGGTAGTGTAGCTGTTTCTATATGGAATTTAACCCAAGACTGAGCGCACATGCCATGAATGGTTACGTGTGTAAGTTTTATAGCTGACATGTAGTTTTCAAGTGCAATGCTGCTGTACCCCTTTTGACAATGACTGCAAAGTACACCCCAAGTAACTTGTCGTCGCAATCACTTGATACATATTCGACCACATGAAGCGCATAAGGTGAAACATTTGACTCGGACGCAGCTGACATTGGGGAAAAGCCAGTTGATCAAAGTGCCAACCGTTCGCAGTCGGCGTGTTAGGAGCTGGTCGTCTTCTCCCAGCTGCATCGTCAAGTATTAGCTAGTCAGACGGCGCATAGCTGGAACAGGGTCAGACGCACAGATCAAGAAATAGTTTCCATAAAATGGAAAACAACACGCCCTGTAGACCATTGCATAGAATTCGGGTGGCGAGGCCTCGTCCGAGAAGTCCCAGCACTCCATCCTCTTGAATCACCAACTTGACGGCCTCGGCTGAGTACAGTCATTAGACGAAACTCAATATGGAGAAGAGGCATAACTCTTACTGTAAGAGACTCTGGTGTCGTTGACTTGACGGTATGTCTTCACGACTCTCAAGGAATTTGACACGGAGTCAGAAATAAGGGATGCGATAAATCCGATGAAAGCTAGACGCAGCAACCATAGGAATACTTCCGATTCAGGTGGCTCCTGGATGGATTCGTTTAAGAGATTATACTGCAGCATGTGAGCAACTATTAGAAATTAACGTCTTGTATTCCAAAGTTCCGCTTACCGTGGCAAACCACGGATAATGCCCGACAAACGTTGCTCCCGCCGTAGCGAATGCTCCCCACCACAATGTCGCAATTCCGTATTTATGGAAGCGCTGGCGCAGCAAGTCGATTCCACTCGATCCTTGAGCTTGGAGAGTCGTCTTTAGAGTATCAATGGGAGTGAGGACCATGCGGAAGCCCGCAGCACTTGGCACACATCTTAGCGTAAAGAACTACCATGTGTTGAAAATCATCCATATCCATACCATAGAGAAGCAAAAACAGTCTTTGCAGGCGAGGGCAATTTTCTCAGGTATGAGTTGGACTGTAGCAAGGCGAGAATGCCAGCGTTTGCAGCGGTATCTCCAAACCTAGCAAGGGGACCTGAGAAGAGTGCCAGTTGGTTTCCAGATGCTTATTTGGTAGTTTCAACAGTTCAACGCATGCTTGAGCTACATACCTTGAACAAGCGCGGCCGTGAGACCCTGATAGTAGCGACCGAGCCCTCCTGCGTGATATAGGGTCTGGGTTGCAGTCCTAAAAGAGGTCCCAAATCGGTACTGGTAATTCATTATCGTTCGCAGCGGCTGTTTCTTTGTCAGTGCCTGTTGTCTCATGAACGTATATGAAGAGAAGATGCACCATTAGCAGCAGCACTTGTAGAACCATAGCTGCAGCGCCGCTGAGACCTCCACCGAGCGCTTTCTTAAGCGCATGCCTCAGATCAAACTATGATACAAGCAGGCGCGTCAGCCGTGAATAGATCCGTGTATTATCAGTCGCGAATAGACCAACATCAACATCGCTGCCCGCATTGATCCAGCCCTTGATAAAAACAATTCCGACGACAACTCCGAGGACGGCCCAAACGAGTCTCCAGTAACCGCAGCTACCCCTCCTGGGCTCAGATTCAGGATAATCGACCCGCGGACTTGATGGCTCGCCGTTTAGCAGTGGCGTCTCCTCGCGAGGATTGCTTTGGGACTCTATGTCACCCTCGCGCGCCATGTTATGTACTATCTCCCAAACCCGAGCGTCAACAGGTTGGGGCAAGGAATGAAGTTGGTGAAACCGGACCAGCAGTGTGCAGTGATATTCCGAGACCCGCAATCTAGCGGCTACGTCTTGGATGACAAATGCAGGAACCCATGGTGGTTGAGACTCGGCGACGAGCAGGCAGGGCCATTGGGATTGGTCAGATAGAGTCTGATGCAATACCGACCAATATGGCGCATTCCCACATGCGATGACCACAGGCACGTTCCGATGTGACCGCATCGGCCTGAATACCATGTGCGACTGTTGCAAGACCAAGGATTGATATGTGAGCTCAATTCCCTTCCCCCGCAGTTGCTTCTCATACGGATCGGCGTGTGTTTTTATGTTCTGCATTTCTTTGAGACATTTCAGCCGGCCTAGGATCCTTCTTTATTTGCCTGCATGCTTATACTATGAATGGTCTCAAGTCGGACATCAAATCGGTTGCAATTATTGGCGCCGGACCCGCTGGTACTTCTTCTTGCCTGTTGATGAGGTATTCTACAACAGTTCCGAGCTAATCATCAACCACATAGGTGCAGTTGCAGCATCCGCTCTGAAGGCTGAGAACTATTTTGATCGAATCCAAGTATTTGAACGCCGAGAATCAGCTGGTGGAACCTGGTTTGTAGCCAAGTGGTCGGAAATGTAGAGGACCTCGTTGTTTTAACCTTTAGCCAGGATACATGATGAAGATCCAGGTCCAATTCATCCTGTCTATCCGGGAAAGCTACCGACAGAAACCGACCAAGCTCTAGATATCCCCCGTGACTTGCCTCAAGTTGTCCCTCACATACGGCGTGAGCGGTGGACTGCAACGCCCATTTACAACATGTTGACGTGAGAGTCCTGTGAATCCCGTGAAAAATCCTGACACTGAATATGTAGCTAGAACCAATGTCCCCGACATAGCAATGTGCTTCTCTGATTCGAGATTTGCGTACGGCCCCTTTGTGCCACACTATATTGCCCGGCAATATGTTGAGAATTACTTCGCCATCCGCAAGACAGATGCCTTCCTACAGCTGAACACTACTGTGGAGGATCTTTCGAGCGTGGCTTTGCCAGAGCGCGGCGGCGCCAGAGGTTGGAAGCTGACACTTCGCAAGTACGACGCCACCAGAAACGTCGATGTGTGGCGCGAGGAGTTCTTTGACGCTGTGATGTTGGCTAACGGGCACTACTCGGTTCCTTATGTATGCGACAACGCCCAAGCACATTGCAGTATGCGCAAAGCTGATCCGAACGATAGGTACCACAAGTCCCCGGCCTCGAGGCATACATTACCGATTTCCCGGGGCGGGTATCCCACTCAAAGTTCTACCGCTCTCCCCTACTCTACGAATCCAAACGAGTTATTGTAGTCGGGAACTCCGCATCGGGCCACGACGTAAGCGCGGACTTGGTCTCTGCTGCCCAACACCCCGTCTACGTATCCCGGCGCTCCAAGTCAAAGTGGGATGGCGACGAACCGCCATTTGGAATATCGTGGAAACCCACCATCCGGGAATTCCAACAAGACGGTAGAGTCGTATTCAGTGACGATACATACTTGGACGATATCGACGCGGTGATATATTGCACAGGCTACAAAGCTTCGTTTCCGTTCTGGAATGAACAGGCTAACAAACAGCCCTTGTGGGACTACAAAGCCGACAGGCTGGTCAAGAGCTACTGGCATACTTTCTTCCGCGACTACCCAAACCTCGGCATTGTGGGACTTCCGAGGACTCTGACATTTCGAAGCTTTGAGTACCAGGCTGTCGCGCTTGCGCGGCTGTGGTCGAACAGAAACTCCATCCCGCTTCCGTCGCGTGAGGACCAAGAGGCGTGGGAACTGCATCAAACGGAGAAGACGAGAGCCCGCCGTGGCAAGTTTCACGATATTCCGTGGGAAAATGGCGAGACAACCGAGTACTTGAAGTACTTGTTCAACTTTGCGGGCCTTGGAACCATAAGTGGCGAGGGCAGAATACCGCCCGCTCTGGGGAGGGACTTGGTTTGGGCCATAGAGAATATACACAAGTATCCAGAGCATACAACTCAGGGCAAGAAGAAGGGGGATGGAGGAGAAACCGTGGAGGAGGGTTGGGTTTTGGTGGCAAATAGCTGCATGAATCACTTGGGCTTTACTTGATTAATTAATACTAGCTTTTTATTAAAATCATAAAATAACTGTAATAATAAAAAATCTTTATATTAAGTGTATTTCTTTATTAACTTATTTAAAAAAAAAATCAAAAAAAATAAGTTAAATAAAGGTATTTAATAACACTATATTTTAATTATATTAAAGCTAAAAAAAGTGAAGTAAGCTATTAAATAGTTAGAAATAACCTATATAATAGGGGAGAGAAAAGCTTAATATTAAGCTAATATTAAGCGGAATATTAGAAGAACTAAAAGTTTAGTAGCTAAGTAAAGGTAGCTATATTTAGAGCTATAAAAGTAGTTTAGTTTTATAGTTTTTATAATTATTTATATAATAAATAATATTAAATCTAATAGAATACTTATG